TGATATGTACTTGATTACTGTTGGCGTGTTGTTATTAGCCATTAGCCGCAGATAGCAGTTCAAGGCTAACGTCTTGTTAATGATCATAAACAACGTAAATAAATACATAAATAAATCAGAGAGAAGGGGCACAGCGACGGCAGGTCAGCGTCGCGCGGTGGTATCATTACTTTTGAAAAAGAGTATCGTATCCGGATACAACATTTTAGTATCGATACTTTTTTAAGTATTGATACTTTTGACAACCCTAATTGATATCGATACCTTTATCGATACTCCTTATCGATCCGAGTCTTTATCGATACCACTATCGATACTTTTCTGTTATTTGGTGGAGAGACGACGCGACAATATTTAGCAAATAAATGATTGTATTTTAAATTAAATGTAATTTTTAATAAATGTTGGCATCAGTAGTTTAATTATATATTCTAAAATTATTAGAGCAATATACAACTGTATTACTCATGTTTCTATTGTAATAATATAAAAAAAAACGACCACACTCGATAGTGGTATCGATAAGCCCAAACGTTATTGATGAAAAGTGGAACCGGGTCATTGATAGAACCGGGTTTCGATCCCCACCCCTAGTCGTACCTGTTCATGAACACGGCCTCTGAACACATCATCACGCAGCACGTCTGAAACTTTATTTACTTTTCAAGATAACTAGCTTGTATGCTGCCAATTACAACACGGATTTCACAATTACGACCAAAAACGACCAGACTCGATAGTGGTATCGATAAGGTATCGATATTGATTTTCGGGTTTTAAAAAAAGTGGAACCGGGTCCTTGGTAGAACCGGGTCTCGTACCTGTTCATGAACACGGCCTTGACCCCGTGCTGGGCCGAGGGCACCTTAAAGGGCCCCACCGCCTTCAGCGCGGCGCCCAGGTAGGCCTGGTTCTTGGTGAGCAGGTAGGCCCGCACCAGGGTGGACATGGCCTGGCCCTGGGCCATGGCCGAGTACCAGCCGGGCTCCAGGGGCCGGAAGCCCTCGCCCAGCTTGCGGGTGACCATGATGGGCCAGCCCCCGCGCTCGTCCTGGTTGCGCAGCAGCCAGTCGCTGGCGGCGAAGAAGGCGGCCATGTGCGCGGTGGTGGAGACCGTCACGTTGTCCAGGAAACCGCGCCCGCGGAGCACCAGGCGCACCACCCGCCGGGGCATGATCTGAGCACAGAGTCCAGCCGTCAGTCTCTGATTCCAGATCTATACTCGGTCTAAATGTCTAAATTTCAATGTTAGATATATTAGTCTGCTGGATTTTTCCCAAATCAACTGAACAAAACAAGATTAAACGTGTCATTCTGAATCATCTATTAATCACAATAACAGTCCCATTTAACTCATTGACTGCCAGAGTTTTTTGAGCATTTGGACTGATTTTTCAGATCTCTACTCGGTCTAAATTTCTAAAATTCAATGTTAACTCATTGACTGCCAGAGATCTTTGAGCATTTTGACTGATTTTTCAAGAGCCACAGAATAGTTTGTTTCTTTAATAGTTACTGAACCAAAGTGAATTGACTTGATCAATTTGAACCTTTCATGCTGAAAAACGCTGACTGCTCTGATTTTGTCGGCTGGATTTTTCCCACATCAACTGAACAAAACAAGATAAAACGTGTCATTCTGAATCTTCTATTAATCACAATAACAGTCCTATTTAACTCATTGACTGCCAGAGTTCTTTGAGCATTTTGACTGATTTTTCAAGAGCCACAGAATAGTTTGT